GGATTGATCCCAGGTAGGGACCAAAGGGAGCTTAGATGCAAAGGACCTCAGGTCATGGAGGGAACCGCCAATATATTCTAACTTACTTTATCTGATATTATCACTCAGAACACAGTGAAAGAAACAGTACCTTCAGAAAAGATACGTAGAGGGTTTTTATGAAGAACAGGGCTATTAGGATCATTCTGTTTCCCTTTGGTTTATAATTGTAGTAAATGTACTCTATGTCTCCCAAAATTCATGTGTTGAACCATCATCACAGGATTAAGGTGAAAACTTGATCCAATTATGTGGTTGATTAGGTGGAATTTGGGGGAGATTAAGATTAAGGGTCACTGGGGCCAGCAGGTGGCATGGTGAATAAAATAATTATTTTTTAAAAAGATTAAGGTCACCAGAGCAGGGCTCCATGCCTGACTTAGGGTGTGTTTATTAGGCGGGGTTGGGGGAAGGAATGAGCGACACTGTGGAACACAGACCAAGTTCTCCCGCCCTCCATCATTTTGGGACTCAGCCAGAGGAATCTCACCAGAGAGGGTTCCTGGACTTTGGACCTCAAAACCTTGAGTCAAATAAATCTCTATCTCCTTTTTTGTTGTTGTTGTTGCTGTAAGGTGCATACTCTTGCCGGAAAGGTGGGGTGGCAGTCACAGGGAGTGGGAAATCATCCTCCCAGAGGGAATGGCCACACCACAATTCATTCTCCTCCATTATTGTCCTGGGATTTGGGGCATGCATGCACATGCACACGGTGTGATTTTCCAGCCTCTGCGTCCAGGACTTGAACTACATAGTCAGCTGCCTTAACCATTAGTCCATGGACTGGTCCAATTAATCTCAATTTTTATTTTTATTTATTTTTTAAAGAATTATTTACTCATTTATTTGTTTATTTAATTGCATTTGCTGTTATAATTTCTTTTAAATTTGATCAGAGAGAGATAGAGAGTGAAAGGGAAACCAAGGAAGCAAGCCACCAGGTCCAGGACTTGAACCACAGTTGGCCATGTGGGACACTAATTCCATTTGCTGTTATAATTTTTTTTTAATTTGATCAGAGAGAGATAGTGAAAGGGAAACCAAGGAAGCAAGCCACCAGGTCCAGGACTTGAACCACAGTTGGCCATATGGGAATCCAGTGCTTTTAACCACCACGCCACCTGCCAGCCCCAAATCTCAATTTTTATTAATCACCCACTTTTAGATATTTTCTGTTATTATCTACAAAACAGGTCAGAATGATGCAAACAACAAAATTGAACCTTTTTAAGTGGTATTAAATACCACATCTGGCCTGGCCCCATAGAGCTGGTTAAGTGCAGTGCATTGGGAGCCAGATCCCACATGGCTGCTCACAGTTCAAATCCTGACCCTGGCAGCTTGAGGAACCCACCATGCATGTATGTGTGCCCCAAATCCTGATGGGGTGGAGAAATGGAGAGAAGGAACTGCACCTTGGTCACATCCAACTGGGTGCGGCTTCCCCTCTCTCTGAGTGCACACTCTGTGACAATGAAATAAAAGAAACAGATATCTTCATTTTGTCCTACACCCATGACCACCGTCCCCTCACAGAACACTTTCCATCTTATAAAACTGAAACTCCGCACCCATTAAACAAGGACTCCCCAGTCCCTTCTTCCCGCCTCCCCGGCCGCTCCCATTTAGCTCCCTGTCTCCGTCACTGGACTATTCTAGATGCCTCACATACGTGGGGTCGTAGAGTACGCGCCTTTCTGTGACTGGCCTCTTTCACGTTAGTGTGATGTCCAGGCCCATCCAGGTTGTGGCATGTGTCAGAATTCCCGTCCACTGTCTGTATGCACTGCATTCTGTGTATCCCTTCATTCATTCATTGAAGCTGTTGGGTAGTTTCCCCTCGTGGCCCTTGTCAGTCATGCGGCTACGCACATCACTTTGAAGGGAGAATTAAGACTAGCGGGTGATATTACAGAGGGGGGAAAGCCTGGCAAACAGTAGCAGGGAGAATTTTTCAATGATGATACGCCCTCAGACGGCTGCCCCAGGAGGTTGTGAGTACCCTGTCGCAGGGGCTAGAGGGCCATCTTGTTGGCCACTTGGGAATGCGTCTTCCTCTTGGGAGGAGATGGCCCCTCAGATTATCAGGTAATGCCCAAGGATCCTCCCATCCTAGGATGTCAGCCTGAGAGCAGCCGAGGGGCTGCCATCCGCTCACTGACCGAGCTGCTGGGTCCAGAGGAGGGCACCACTCCTGTTTCGTTCTGTCTTCTGGCGAGGCTCCTCTGCGAGCAGACACCAGCGGGTGACAGCAGTATCCTGCCATCTGCTTTGTAGCACAGAACATGTCACCGAGCAAGATTAGACTTTCCACTCAGAGAGGGGCTGGACATTGCCCACCTCATCTCTTGTGAAGAAGGGGTTGCCTGTCAGGAACGATGGGGGAGAGGGGAGGAGGTGGCTAAGTTGTCGAATGTCACGGAGATCTCTCCCTCTTTCTGGCACCTCCCCTGCATCCTCCTTGCGTGACTGAAGCTTTCGTCGATGTGATTGTCTGTGCCGACGTGCAGGGCCTCTCCAGAGTTTAACGTATGCAACCTCACGGGAGTGCGAGACATGCCCCCAAGCTGGGTGCTGGCCAGGCAGCAAAGCCAGATTGGGAGGTGGGAAGGAACAGAAGTGCCCGGGCTGTGCCCCATTGCCTCCTTCCCTGGGGCCGATGTGTTCCAGGCAGGCTCCAGGCTTGTTTCTGCGTGTGTGTGTGTGTGTGTGTGTGTGTGTGTGCGTGCGTCTGTGTAAATGGAAAAGCGCTTTGAATGCTCTGCAGGAGTGCCCTCAAAGGAACCCTGTGGCGAAGTCTTTTGTCAATGAAGAAATCCTTTTGTAAGGGGAATAATTGTGCTCTGTTTGTCTGTTTTGGAGGTTCAGAGTGTTCAGAGATTCTCAGGGGAGAGACGGTTTTGTTTGAAGGCCATCTGGCCCACCCGCTTCCCGATGGCTGATTCTCCTCGGGAACATCACTCCCCTGCAAGTGATGTGAAGTCCCTGTTTGAAACCTCAGTGACAGGAAACTTGTGAGCCCCCAGCCCACCAACACCCACACACACACACACACACACACATCAGCCCTGGGTGGATTGTTCCATCTGGACAGCTCTGCTGATTAGAAATGGAGCTAAACAGCCTCTCTCAGAAGTGTTCTGCCGTTAAGTCTTCTGTTTGCAGGTGGCACTGAATGTGTGCCTCTCTTGTTGACTCATGCGGTACTCAGCCATGAACTTGGCCCCTGAGGCTTCTCTTCTTTGAATGAAAAGGTCCTGGTTTCCTCATTCAGTCCTCATATGCTAGGTTTTGAGTTTTTTCATTATCCTGGTGGTTCTGCTTTGACTTTGCTGTACCATCCCTCATCCTTTGCACCACGAAACCCAATCATTTAATGCCACTTGAAGGTGTTGTCTGTCCATGCGGAGGAGACAGGGTCACTCCTCTCGCTAGATCTAGATTCTGTGTTAGCAACGCTAAGGAGTTTTTATAGAACTGGGTGCAGTGGTTGAGCCTGTCGTTCCACCTGCTGGGGGGCGCTGAGGCAGGATTGCAACACAGTGAGACCTTATCTTTAAAAAAAAAAAAAAAAACCAGCTCTTGGTACCAACAGTTAGCGTAATGGCTATGTCACTGGACCCCCATGTAATCGACCGTGGTTCAAGTCCCAGACACAGTAGCTTAAAATCACGCCGGGTGCGTGTGTGTGCGTGCCCAAGATTCCAAGAGGAGGGAACCAGCAGTTAGCGTAATGGCTATGTGGCTGGACTCCCACGTAGTCGACTGCGGTTCGTGTCCCGGACCCAGTGGCTTAAAACTCATGCCGGGCGCATGTGCGTGCGTGCCCAAGATTCCGAGAGGAGAATGGAGGAGAAGGGATTGCGGCGTGACCATCCCCCCTGGGGGGTGATTTCTCGCTTTCTGTCTCTATGTCTCTCTCT